TCATCCCTTGTTTTGCTACCCTGGTGGCTCCAATGACCGCCCTTTTGTCTAAAAATAAAAAGTGGGAATGGACAGATGAATGTCAAAAATCGTTCCAGGGTATTAAAAGTGCATTGGTCTCGGCACCCATTCTAACTTGTCCTGACTTTTCCCGGCCATTTAAAGTTCAAACCGATGCATCTGCATTTGGAATAGGAGGAGTTCTTTCTCAAGAGTTTGACGACGGTGAACACGTCATTTGTTATATCAGCCGTTCGCTTACGCGCCAAGAGCGAAACTTTAGTACTACCGAAAGGGAGTGTCTTGCCGTCCTATATACTATCGAAAAACTCCGTCCTTATTTAGAGGGATATAAGTTCACTGTTATAACTGACCATCATTCGTTAGTGTGGTTGCATAATTTACGAGAACCAACTGGTCGTTTGGCTCGTTGGGCAGTACGCCTACAACAATTTAACTTTGACATTATTCACAGGAAAGCAAGAGAGCTCGTTGTTCCCGATGCCTTATCTCGCTCAGTACCCGAGGTACAGGCTGTCGACTCGAGTAAACCTTTGCCGATAGATTCTTGGTTCAATAACATGTTAGTTAGAGTACGCGAAAATCCACTCAAGTACCCACAGTGGCGTTTAGTTGGAAACAAACTATTCAAATATGTTTCATGTCAGTATCCGTTGCTCCGTGACCAAAATGATTTTTGGAAACTAGTTGTTCCTAAGTACGATCGTAAGAATTTGATCCGCTCTCATCATGATAGTACCGTGGCTTGTCACGCAGGAGTTTTTAAGACCTTTGAACGCCTCAAAAATTCGTATTATTGGCCTAAAATGCGCGCGGACGTAGCTGCCTACATTAGAAGGTGTCCTGTTTGTTTAGCGCAGAAACCGATTCTAAGACCTCCATCTGGAAATATGGGAAAACATCCCGAAGTCACCGTACCATGGCAGATGATAAGTGTAGATCTTTTCGGCCTACTTCCTCGTTCTACCCGTGGATATAAATTCGTTTATGTTGTAACAGATGTATTGAGTAAATTTTCTTTATTTTTCCCCCTTAGAGATGCGACTGCCGCTGCAGTAACGCGAATTACAGAGGAACACGTATTCCTGATGTTTTCATGTCCACAATACCTCATATGCGATAATGGCGTACAGTTTCGCTCAAATTTATTCCGTAACCTATGTCAAAATTATAATGTAACTATTCGGTATACTCCTTTGTATCACGCTCAAGCAAACCCCGTGGAGAGGGTTAATCAGGTCCTTAAGACCATGATCTCTTGCTATATTAATGACAATCACAAGAAATGGGATACATTACTTCCTAAAGTTGGCTGTGCAATACGTACTGCGGTTCATGAGGCGACGGGCTTGACACCGTTCTTTGTAAATTTTGGTCGCGAACATTTTGCTTCAGGTGGCGATTATAAACGCCCGAATATCGAAACAGAGACACGAGTTCCTCCTTCTAGGCGAGATGTTTCTCAAGAATTCAAAAAGATATTCGCAGACGTTAAAAGGCGACTTGATGCAGCACATGCTCGTTCTAGTAATCGATATAATTTAAGACGTCGTCCGATAGCATTTCATGTTGGCGATAGAGTTTACCACAGGAATTATGTCTTGTCCGATGCCTCTAAAAACTTCACTGCGAAATTCGCCTCCAAGTATGTGGGACCGTTTGTCATTAGGAAGAAATTTTCCCCAGTCGCTTACGAGCTGGTTGACTCGAATAATAAGTCCAAAGGAACGTGGCATATTAAAGATTTAAAGTTTCATCCTCCTGATGATGATGATGATGGTTCGGCTAGTGACGGTTCCGAATAGGAGTTGATTTTACGTACCTCAGGTTGACAGGTATATATTGTTGAATTTTTCTTAGTTTTCTTTGTTTTCTTACTTTCTCCTTTCGCTGTGCAGTTGACGGCTTGAGACTATCACTGTAGGGGAGAATTCTCCTGGCGGTAAGAGTCCGACCGAATAGGCCACTGCCAGAGTTGCTGAATGAATGATCGACGCTGGTCGGTAGTAGGCATTGGAGTGCGCTTACCCGGAGTGTTGGAGGGACACGTGACCTAGTGAGGTAGTTTTCTATCAGTACTAGGCTTGGAGTGCATGTCTCCTTCCATAGCTTTGTTCGGTGGCGACCTACTGGATCACCCGACGTCATTTCGAGTCTAGCAACTCTGGTAGTCATTATCTTTTTGTATTTTTTTTGTTTGGGGGGATAATTTTTTTTTTTTTTTTGGATATAATTGTCAATCTCACTCAGAAGAGATTTACAGGTAAATCTCTTGGGAGTTGAGGGGGAGTTGTTACAATTCAAATTTAACTTAGTTGAAAACGGCTGTATCACTTACTTGAAACACATCAACAGTCATTTATTCGGATCAGGTCAATAATAACAATTTGTTACTACATTTTGAAAGTTCATTCTGTGGGTTCCCAGCATTGCTCTCGGTCTTTTGCTGCGAGTGTTGTCTTCAATTGGTACTGGGTATTTTGTCTCACACTGTCATTCCTCTCGGCTCTGCATTCCACACTTTGTTTACCTTCGATCCTGCTATTAGTAGCTAAAACGAAAATAGCACTCTCAGTCTGATATGGGCATGACAAACCATGATTGTGGTAGAAAGGTACTCACCTCAGGGTTTTGTTCGCTCTCATTTTTCAATGGATTTATATCTGGAAACCAGGTAGTTATTTGGGTATGATTATGCTTCTTGTCTTCTCTCCTGGCTGAAGATAATCCGAAATGATGATATTTTATTATCATTTTAGTACTATGGAGCTGCATGTCGTGTCATTTACGTAATGTTCGTTACACCTAAATTGCTTTGAGTCTGGAATACTTACTACTTGTAAGTTGTAATTCAGCCCTGTTCCTAATAGGTCCCTTGGAAATAAGATATTGAGTGATATTATCTAGTGGAGGGTTAATTTCACTGCTTATATAATCTTTGTGTATTGTCAAATCTGTATCAGCTGAGTGTCGACTGTCGACATCGTCACCTGTCACCTGACACCTGACACCTTTGGTCTAATGGCACGAAACACGGAACACACAGTGGTGTGAATCGACCGTCGACTTATTACCATTTAGTCTCCTCAACTTCGGGTCAATTCGGTGTTACACGGCGGAGTACTTATCGTTGGCTTACAGTATTTTATCAAGGTCGGTGGTTTTGGTCATGACGTCATAGTGAGTTACTGGCGTGTCCAACATCGAGTTGGTTGTCAGTTATACGGTTGGCCAGCAATAAGTTGTGAATCGATTCCCAAAGCCTGATAGTAAAGTTCTGAGACTATTCGTCAAGTGAGTCGACCCTTGGTTGATACCGCGGTGGTACTTCGGTATTCGTCGCTATTATCTCAGGTATCTTCTTTCTCCTTCGACTCCTTGTTTCCTGGACTCGAAGAGACCTCTTCTTTCGCTTTCGACTCTTTGTTTTCTGGACTCGTATTCTGTGTTCTATGTCAATGTGTATGAACGCTACTGCGCAGGCCTGGGTGGTTTTAAGTTCGTAGCCGTTCGTAACGAATATCGGTTTGTAACGATATTTTCCCGGGTTTTCTCAGTGTCATAACGGCGTCTCAAGATGCCTTACATCGTAACAAAGTGATGTAATTTTGCTTGGAAATGGGGAGTTATACCCAATATGTTATTTGAATTTCGTATTTTTTGTGTACACCGTCACGATGGGAAATGACGTGCTTATGGGGTACAAAAAAATGTGTGAGGAGGACCTACAAGTCTCCAGCCTGAAAAGGGCACCATTTTGTAAAGGTGTGTCTGGTTGCATTGGTGCCGAGGAAGAGCTCCATAATTTGTACCGTGTTTGTGAACGGAATCCACAGCTAGTGGGATTATTTGGAGGTCTTCAACTCGCAACATTTCGTTTCCTCTGTTTTGGAAAGAAATACCCTATAAGGGGATTAATAGCATCATTCAACCGGCCTACCCAATAGCCCGCCCACCATCCAAGGTATGTTGTACTACCATGTGCCATGCAGGTTCACTAGGCTTGGAATATAATCCTGTAAGTGATATTTCTTTTGTTTTAGGGCTTCTTCTTTTCCCTTCTTTTTTTTATCTACTTCACTTTGGTCCTTTTGCTTCTTCTCTTGTCGATGTTCCTGCAAGATGTCTTCAGTTGTCCCTGTTATCAGACTGCTGTCTGGTGCTGCATTATGCCAAGCATTACACTGACCCAGTAGTTCCTGTCTAAACCACCTGACACCAGTAGCACTGCATTGTCTGGAAGCAGCCCCAGCCTGGGAAGTCACCCATTATAGTATCACCAGCTATATGTATGTACTTATGGTGTAGCTGCCAGAAAATACCTGCAATCTGGTAAGACTGCTCCATTTTTATCTCCATTCAAGAATTACCTACCACCAAGGATTTTCAAGTCGAACATTTCGCCTGCGGATCTATGTACTGTATGACCATGTATAATGTTGACCTCAATAATTAATAGGGGGTATCATATTGCTGAATTTCCACTCACCACTGTAAACCATAGTGATCACATTGGTAAATTATTATTGTTCTGGAAGAAACCAGACTTCAACATAATTGTGTCTAAATTCATGACTAAGGGGGGTCATTATATTTCATAAGGTATATATGTTGAGGTACCTACATAATATTTTGTTGCTATTTACTTGATGGAAATGTTTTTCTAGTGATGTCTACATAGTTAGCAGCTTATGTCATAACTACCATATTCAACCATATTCAGTAAAGGATACAGTCAAATTTATGGCTATAATTCCACCCTACCAACCTTACTCACCCCAGTGTCCCACTGAGCTAGTCAGTGTTTGATCTCTACTGTTTATAATCAGGCACTTTAAACACTTATTTTTGTAACGAAAAATCTATCTCAATTTGCACATCCTTTAATTGAGGGTGAACAGCCTAAACCAATTTGTTAACAACTCTGGTAACAAAGCAGCTATAAACAATGGAACCCGTTACACTTTCTCTCGTTTCAGATCGGATTACTACAGGAAGGGCGGCAAAGCGATGCTGCCCATAAAATGGATGCCACCGGAGGCATTTCTGGACGGCATCTTCACCAGCAAGACGGACGTGTGGTCGTTCGGCGTGCTGCTGTGGGAGATCATGTCGATGGGGTACATGCCGTATACGGGGTGCGCCAACAGGGACGTGATGCAGCTGGTGACGAGCGGCGGCAGATTGGACCCGCCGGCCAACTGTCCGGGTGAGAGGCCTATTAAGAATATTTTTGACTATTCCACTCTTTTTTTCGAGAACCAATCAAAATCGACCATTCTCACGGTACCTCTTGAATGGACTAATTTTTTTTATTCCTCAAATAGAATGATCACTCAAATACCTTCAATTTTTTTTTTCTGTGACGGGAAAAAAGTTTGGCATTTCATCTCTGCTTGGCAGTTTATAAGATGTCACTTTTCATAAATTACTTACTCAACTCAACTACACATTTTCCGTTCATTCTCAACGAAGCACAGATAATTCCTATAAATTTGAAACGTACATCGATAGAGACACAAAATCGTGGTTTCTGGGTCCCACGTCTTCTGAAGAAAATAATTTTTTTGTTTTCAGGTCCCATATACGGTATAATGACCCAGTGCTGGCACCCAACGCCAGAGCAAAGACCCACCTTCGCCACCATCTTGGAAAGGATGGGTTATTGTGCGCAAGACCCGAACGTGATGAGTGCGCCGTTGCCGGTTTTCCAACGTCCGCCATCTTACGAAAGAGACACTACGGTCATGAGACCGACGACGTCGGAAGAAAATTGTCTACAGGTAGTTCAGTTGATTGTTGATAATCGAAAACATCATGTAGGGTTATGAAAAATAAAACAAAATGATTTACCAGCAGCAGGCTGTCATGGATTTTATAATATTCTCATTATCAGGAATATGTGATATTCAAAACTGAATCTCAGTCAAATTCGTGAAAGGCACTCGCCTTTATAACATAATTTCTGATTACATGATAAGCGATGACACGCCTATTTGGAAATTTAAATTCTTTGATGTATCGTTAGTTGCATAACGCAACGATTACGAATGAAAATACGACGTGAAATTGTTGTTTTATCCATGAAGAGTGAAATAATCGTATCAAATATAACCCGTTTCATTGATCTTAATTGTTGATGTACCTGAGTGTTTATAGTTTTTTGTAAATTCAAATTATTGCTTGATTTTAATATTTTAAGGTAAATCTGCTAGTTTCAGCTAGAGAGACTATTTAATTTGAATTTTGAGAAGTACATATTTGATATTGTGAGATCAATGAATTCTATTCTATTCCAAATTCACCGACAGTTTTGTAATGGATTTATGCTAGACTATTTGACCACCAAAAGGTAGTACAGAGTCAGCAATCTGTCACTATATAAGCGGGGACAATATTTTTAGGATAGTCCAAATTCCAAGTGTGTTTTTTTTTCATTTTGAGGTGGTACCAACATCTTCCGACTATCTGATACCAAACCATACCAACCCCACCACGCCCGACCAAATCGAATCGACCTCGTCGGTGGAGAAATTACTGCCCGACAGCTCTGACAACTGGGAAACCTCTTTCATCATGCCCAATTCGAGGTCCACGCAACCGCTGCTGATGGACAACAGCAGGGAGGACGAGGGTGCAGTCACCTCTGTGAGTTCCACCATACTCTAATGTTCTAAATGTTCCTTGAAACTAGTATCAGTGGGGTTTCTAGTTTGACCTACATATGTGTTGATGCAATTAGTAAAACTAATTTCGTTGAATCCTTCCTTCGATTCAGATGCGGGTTGGAAGCTTTCAATGTCCGCATATACAGTGTGACACAATTAAGATGAACACACCCCTTTATTTCAGTCATTTTGTGAAGCAAAGATTTGCTTTTTGGTACTGACGTAGACATTCTTGGGCTGCTCTTTTCGCAATACACCAGCCCGAGTGACAGCTATGGGTAAGCACACAAAAATTTAGACAATAACAAACAAATCGTACGTTGAGAACAATAGTGTGACAATTCAAAAAAGTTGATTTTTGAGTTAGAACCACCGTCGGATAGCAAATTTCGAGCTCTACACTCCTATATTATCTTGACATCTCTAGGTCCTATAGCTGCTGCGTGAAATCGCTGGTCACGTTATTGCATTAGAGGAGAAGTGACTCTTCGCGTTCGCAGGATACGCCTCGTATTCCGACTTCGAGGAAATTTTTATGATAAATAATGTGACAAGGTATTAAGTCGCCTTATTGAAAACATAATTTGACCTTCCCCGACGGCAGTTATTTCAACGCAATTATTCAGATCGATTTCATGAACTCCTGGTTTCGTTAGTGTATCAATTTGTTCTCTGATCATATTTCAAAAGGTGCTAGGTGTTCCTTGAACCTAGCTCCAAAAAATCTTCCAGTTTGTCCTACATATGTTCCATCAAATTCACCCCCAAATCAGTTTTGAAGCCCTTTTTCGATCAGTTTATCCTCATTTCAGATCCAATTACTACAGGAAGGACGGCGGAGCCGATTTCGTTTGAGTGTCAATTTCCTCTCTGATCTACCATACTTCGAATGCGCTGGGTGTTCCTTGAACCTACCCCCAGGGAATCTCCTAGTCTGTCCTATATGTGTTTCATCAAATTTACCCCGAAATAAACAGAAAAAAACAACCGTCGGATAGCAAATTTCTAGCTCCACACTTCTATATTATCGTGACATCTCTAGGACCTATAGCTATGCTGCGTGAAATCGCTGGTCACATTATTGCATTAGAGGAGAAGTGACTCTTCGCGTTCGCAGGATACGCCTCGTATTCCGACTTCGAGGAAATTTTTATGATAAATAATGTGACAAGTCATTGAGTCACCTTATTGATTAAACACAATTTGAAATTTTTTGAGCTGTCACGTTATTACATTTTCATCATTTAATGAAATAATGAATTAAATGCAAAAAAATTTGAGTTGTAATGTTAGCAATATGGAATATTTCGATTTGTCACATTATTGCATGCGTTGCACTTGATGAAATAATAAAAACAAGAAGATTGCCCTTGAAAATGATAAGAAGAAATAAAAAACTAGAATGAAACTTTCGAATGTATATAATTTAAATATTTCTCTTTGCATGAAATATCAAGTTCCACCTTATGTTCAAATTCCAATTTTGAAAAATATATTATAATTCCTTCGGATTGAACATTTGGAAAAATGTGTGATTGAAAGAATTCCCAAGAATAGATTTAAATTAAAATTTCATTCATTTTAGGTATTTCCTTCTTTCAGAAAATTTACCTTATTCGTGCTTATAGTCACTTCTCTTCCCAAACTATGGCATTTCACCTTTATGCGAATTTTCTATGAAACTTATTGCTATTCAACTCAAAAATTTGTCTTTTGCAAATTCCCGTTTGTTTCTATTCAGAAACAAAAGAAAATAGAAAAACTGCCAAAAGAGGAATGTTCATCAACCGAAGGGCACGATTTGGATTTTACTGAAATGATAGGAACTCAGAGCACATCTTCAATAATTCCAGTCATGATTATAATGGGATCCACAAATGAAGAAAAATACCTATAATACATGTTATACGGCAATTTTTTGAGATGTAATATCTCAGAAAATGTTTGCTTTTCAGTCATGACATCTCTGAAATTTGTCGAATATGATGAATCAAAACTGTAGCATGTCGAAACTTGTTCTTGAAAAATTGGAAAAAAAAAATATTGGAAAATATTATAACTAAAAATTTCCGATGTAGGCTTATGACATAATAATATAATTTGAACTAAATATACTTTTCGCGGTGAATGGGGTTCACCAAAGACAAATTCATCATAATTAAGAAGTGACAATTTTCAAAGTCGATTCTCAACGTGCGAAATATATACTGTAGACCGGCGTACCTCAGTGCTTCGATGCTTCAATATCGATTCATCATCATCATCATCATCATCAAATATGCTTCATTGTCAGAAGAAATAGTTCTTATCGACAAAGTCATTGTATAGGTATTACAAAGTAAAATATTAAGAATGTTAAAAATATTGAAAATATTAGAAACATTGAAAAAATTAAAACATTAAAAACATCAAGAACGTTATGGTACAAATACAGACATAATATAATAAAATGTGCAGATGAAGCCACAGGATGCAAACATATGAAATCAATCCTAAAATATAGAGGCAAGCGTATTTTAATGCTAACATAAGGGTTCACTACTAAAAAATTCTTCCACGTTGTAAAAAGGATGAGTGGATAGCAATTCTTTTAATTTTATTTTAAACAATCTACATGATTGGATGTCTCGTAGATGTATTGGTAAGCAATTATAAATTTTTAGTCCATTATAAATGAAAGATTCCTTAACAAGATTGTTTTTAGGTAGTGGTAGAGGTAATCTCAATTTGTGCGATGATCGCGTATTATGGTTAGACGACACTATATTATATTTGTGACGATTCTTGTGTATTAAGCAAGTGGTTTCTAAGATGGAGATTGAAGTAACAGTGAGGATTCTATTATTTTTGAAAAGGTCGCGGCAAGAAATACGCGTTTTTACTTTACAAAGAGCCCTAATGGCTCTTTTTTGTACAACTTGCACCATATGTAACAGTTATTGTTTGTTGCACACTCCCCAGAAAGCAATGCCGTAGGTTAGGTGAGATTCAATAAGAGCACGTCGAGGTATCGATCGTGGGTTCGAGACCCACGAACGCAGACTTTTTCTGATGGCCTAAGAAAGTGTTTGGGATCACACGTTAAAAGGTAAGGCCCCCGTCATTCCTTGCTCGCACAACTCTTTCGAAGACTTCTGAGGGTTGCTCGTAATTGGGCAACCGAATGACGGATAGAACAATTTTAGAACAACAATTTTAGAACAATTTTTTTAGATACGCGCATAGCTCCTCAGAAGGGCTATTTTTATTTTATTTTTCGTACACCCTGTAGTAAGTGGAAAAAAGTCTTGTACAGGTGAATACTACTGACTGAGACCGTTCATTTGAGGTATCACAAAAGAGGTAGTGCCATTTGACATTTCAAAGATGGAGTGTGTCGCGCCGACGGGGTGACTCATCCCTTGACCGAAATATAGTGGTTCTAGTTCCCCTTAACTCTTCAGCATTTTTGCCAAACGGCGTTTTTCTAACTGTTTTCTTTCGGGAGATATTCGCTTTGGAAGTTTTCAAATTTACACCCTGTACATACAAACATACAATGCAAGTTAAATAAAAGCTTTTAATTAAAATACTAAACAGTTATCATTTCTGTGTCCGAACTCTTATCTTATTAATACCATCGTGTTACTCTAAATTTCACTATAATTAGAAAACAAAATATATCTCAGCCTCAGCCAATCTTGATATCCAGCAGACTCAATGGAAACGTAAAAAACATTACTCAATTGCCTAGTGTTTATCTATTGTTATGATTGATTATTTTATACATGACAAATGTGTTTTTCTTACATCATAATATAAAAAGCAGTCCATCACAAATCAGTCGTGTCGCGTACTTGATAGCAGAATACCACTTTTTTCCAGGTGGACAAACTCCTATCTATTGACAACAGCACAACTAATTTGAAAGTATCGCCGATATCTCTGCCCAACGCCATTCTCACCCCTAGCAGTCACAACAACAACACGAAATCGGAGAGCACCCTGAAATCGGGGGTGTCTTTGGATGCTGGGGCCTTAGCCAAACAGGTTCGTATCAAATCAATGTCGAATAATAAATATTAGTTCAAACATTTCAATCTAGTAAAATGAGAAGTGCGAGGTGATTTTCACCCACTTGAAAATGGGATACCTCAATGAAATTTGCGTTCATTCACCGATTTCGACGAACTTTTTCTTGAAATGTGAAGCTTGGAAAACTTTATGTACTCATTCTTGAAGATCGAGATTTGCGATTTTCGCGAACAAAATTTTCGAATTTTCGTTTTTGAGGTACAAGACGAAATTGAAAATGTAGTATTTTGGGACTGCCCCTGTATCTCAACTCATAGGAAAAGTTAAAACTGCCACTTATATAGTTTTTCACGTGAAATCCAGTAGTCAGACTTTCAAAATGAGCTGTTATTATTTAGATATCACCCAAAGTTATGTTTCTTTAAATGGAGCACCCTGTATATTTTTTCATATTTGAAACATTGATGCTTTGCGCTTTCCAAAAATATATAACACCTATATGATACTTTGAATATTAGCATCGAATTAAAATAATTTACAATTTTTTTGTGAAATGCCTTGTAAAAGATTGGCAATTTTAATTTTTCAATATCATGAATTTCCATATCTACCTATCACACAATAGTTGAAATTTTACCAACATTCATTATATACCAATATTCAGCACTATTTATCGACTATAAAAGCTGTGGACCTAATTAGTACATTTTTCATTTCTAAAAAATGTGATATTCCAAACAGGAATTTGTCTGAAAGCATTCAAAATTGGTATCATTAAACCAATTTAAAAAACTGGAAATGAAGATGAAGTTAACAATTACAGACCAATAACTTTTAATTTCCACTTTGGCAAAAGTATTTGAGAAAATTTTGAATTTCCGAATCGAAAATTATTTGAATAAACAAAAATTCTTGTCAAATAGACCATTTGGATTCAGAAAAAGTATTCGATCTCAGCATGCTATTTGTTATTTAACAAATAGCATATATGAATTAATAGATAAAAACCAACCAACTCTATGTATATTTCTTGATTTAGCCAAAGCGTTTGATATAGTGAATCATGAACTGCTCTTAAAAAAAAATGGAAAATATTGGATTTCGTGGAGTTAGTTACAATTTGATACAAAATTATTTGACCGAAAGAATTCAGCATGTAATCAACAATATTCATAGTAATCCAAAATATTTTGATTATGGTGTTCCTGAAGGAAGTGTTTTGGGACCTCTTTTTTTTACTATTCACATAAATTATTTATATCAAGTGAATTCGATTGGTACCTAATATACATGTGTTCATGGATTTTCCAATTCTCGAAAAGTGGTTTGATAATAATTTATTGAAACTAATTGTATAAAATACATTGGCATGATGATTGATAATTATTTGAAGTGGGATTATCTTGTAGATTATGTTTTGAAAAAAATTAGATGTCTCATTCCTAAATTCAAACGTATGAAATGATATATTTTGCTTGCAATCTCAATTAGTTTATGGGAATTGTACTTATACCCAATGATTGAATGAAAAGCAATTCATTTCCATTTATAAATTACTTCTGTCTCGAATTAATCAATTGATTCAATAACCATGATTTTTATTTTAGGTATATACCTTACAACGAGTTATACTTCGTAGGGTTTTCTTTGTTTATTCAATACCAATATGTATATACTTATAATTTATATTGTCAACATTTTGAATGAAGTTCATTATTTTTATCATTATTATAATTAATTTGTTTATTGAACATGTGACGTCCCGTCAGGAACAAGTTCTGGTATAAGGGTGTATGGTTACCAATAATACCTAACTATATAATTATAATAATCTCGCATGAATAATACAATATTTGAATACATTAATTATAAAATTTTTACAAATTATTTCACATTGGTGAAGAAAAGTCAATTTGAATGAAATCACAAGTTGAAAAAAAAAAGAAAAAAAATCATCTATTTCGTTCAGAAATGATAAATTTCTTAAGTCGTATTTGAATTTGGTTGTATTTCTGAATTTTCTTTATCTGGTAATTTGTAATGTAATTAGAACAGAGCAGCGTGAGTTTGGTAATCATGAATTTCATTGTTCCCTGTTTGAATAAAATTATATTTCAATCTTCTAATGAGAATGATTCTGTTATTTCATTTAACTGATTTGTTGGTGTATCATAATATGGTATACGATACAGTACTTTTGATGTCTCTTTATATAATGCAGATATTTTATTAAAATCGTTTTTTTGAACAGTATCCCCAAACATTTATCAAATATTTAATGCAACTGAGTATATGAGAATAAATATAATGATATTTGCAATTTTTTTATCGAGCTTGGGACATCTTCTCATGGCTCCAATAATAGGAGATATTTGGTATCAGCCAGGAAAGTTCTTGATTTATGTTAGGAAAATAGTCGTTTTCTGTTGAAATTTCAACAATGATTTTCCTATTTCTCGAAAAAAAAATTGAATGAATGTTATTTTTTGCAGGTGATGACGTCACAGAACAAGACTCCCCTGCAACCCAAGAAATACGCGAATATCAATACGGGGGAGGGGGTTACTAGCAATGGGGTGCTGCAAAACGATCCGTTCTCGAATCACATTGCAGCCGGTACGAAGACTGAGGTGAATTGTTAATTTTCTTTTCTTTTTCCAATGGAAATTGCAGGAATCTTTAGCGGAAAAGATGCAAAAGCAAGGTTTGATTCAACTTTTATTTTTATAATGGCGATATGTACTTATTTCATGTCTGTGAAAGAAGTGACTAAATCTTTCGAACCATTCCCATCAAGTGATATGTTGAGGCACGTGTTTGTTGATGATTATTTTTCGCATTAAAATTGTGGAGCCTAAGTTTGGTCAGAGAGTTTTATTCTGGTCCACTAATAGCATATGGCGTCAGCCCATTGTTATCATTTGTGTAGTGATTTAGGCTTTCAAGGATGATTTCGTTGATAATTCTACGAGCGAATGCGCATGCGTCCATATTGTATCACGTGATTCACTGTGACCAATCTGGCAATGAAGTTTGGGAATGGTTCAAAATTTTAGGCTCTCGTTCTGTGAGTTGTATCTATGATAGCTCCAACGTACCAACAAATTGTTTTCATTAATTTTATCACTTGTTTCTCCAGTTATATTAATCATCGTAATTTATTAAACATCCTGATTCCGTTGTTTGATAGCCACATTTTCAGTTTCACCGGTTGGCGTCACTCGAACGTGGAGTACCAATGTCAAAGTCAAAAGTCCCAAAATTTTGCTGGGTAGCCCTAAAGGCTGATGTGGTCTGTTTCATCGCAAATATTCTAAAAACAGTATGTCAGGGCCTACTCTATATCACCACAGTCACCAAGCCGGAGCATCGCTTTCGTGACGTCACACTAGTAGGGACAAAATCAACGCAGTGGAAATTGTCTCTCCCGTTTTATTGATTTACCTCGGGAAAACGGTCACAGTTAACAAAAAATATCAAGAGGTCAAATATGTACAGGAAAGAATTTCCCAGAAGAGAATCAACTTTCACTGATTTACGATCATTAGTTTCAGAAATATAGCATATCACAATCAATTGACGCTATTCAGAATTGTCCTTTTTTAAACAGCTACCAAAATTCCAATATTCAATTCACAGAAATGATTCAATCATGAAAAGATTCCTCATAGTATCTAGATTGACTGAGATTTTTTTCGAAATTCCCAAGGGCCAACAACAAACCGATATTTCAATTCAAGTAGAACGATGATTCAGGTGTTCATTACAGAATAGTTCAAAAAGTTCGGACGCATCCCATGATAATCCTATTTTTTGTAGGAAATTTGATTGCCTACAAATCGGTATAATACACATCCACTTTATCTCGAAGGGTTATAGCAGCGTTTATCTCTAAAGATGATCAGGACGCACTTTGATGACGTTAGAAATCCTATTACTCGAGTGTGTTATTACACAAAAACGCCTATTCGGTATCAATTATTTTCTGCTGAAGAGTATATATTTGAATGATAACGTTAAATTCATGAAAAAAATTTGATTTGAATATATTTGCAAACTATCAAAATCAAAAAGAACAAAATATGTGGAGTTTATATGAACACAACCTAACAAAAATAATTGAAAAAATATGTATTTCAACAATGAGAGATATAAAAATGAATATAACGAACTGAATAACAAAATACCCAGAACAACGATATATAAATGAATAAGGAAAAAATGAAAAAAAAAAAACGTTGAATCCTTATACACAAACAAAACCAAACAAAATAAACTGTAAAAATGATCAACATAACAAAATGAAAAAATTTATAGATATCACAAAATGAAATACACTAATAACAAAAAAAATATATACATCATCTTAATCACAAACTAAAAATTGAAATCTGAACTATATCTCATCCTGAAAGTTTAGTGATTTTTCTTTTTTAATTTTTTTTATTTTGCAATAATTGTTCAACAGAATATTTGAAATGGTTTTAGAGAATGTTCTGCTGATTAAATCAAAAGACCCACAACTGCAACATTGATTCTCGGAATAATTGAGAAGGGAATTGATTTTAATTTCTGCTAAATTCTCCAAAACTTTATGTTGTGACTTACATTGTAGAAATATTGTTTCGAATTTTTCAGACACCAATATTAGTTGGTCTGAACCATACGCCGTTTAGAAATAAAATGAGTAATAAAAAGTATATCGCCCTTCACCAGTCCAAGGAATTACCGCGAAATCGAAATACAGTGAAATTTGGGTAGGTAGGTATAACGGTTCATTTTTTACGCGCTCTTCATATTTAATTTCTAATTTCTTTCGGACTCATTGTAGGTAACTCTACAGTTTTTTCCTATTCAATTGATTCATTATCGTAGTTTGATATATATTGAGTTAGTTTCATCTTATTCAAATTCAAAATTTGCAAAAAATAGTATTTTGTAGTACAATAACGTCCTGATTTTCAATAAAATGGAATTTCGTTACAACGCCATAACTCTGTATTGATTCATCCTATTGGATTCATTTTTTCACCAAAAGTTGAGGAATTTGTTGGGGATCATTTCGTTTCAATTGAGTGTGCTAAAATTTATAGTAAATGAGCTATAGCCTATCAATTACGAACGCATCAGTACGGACTGATGTGAAATCTCAACCTTCTAGTGTGACGTCAGAGTCGAGAGAGAGGGGATAGACTACGGCCCGGTGAGATAGAGTAGGCCCTGATAATGTGGGCTATACAACTGAATAGAAAACTAAAGTTATGGGGAAATTTGAACATACTTTTTCTACTTTCAATCTGGTACTTTACGCGCAATTCAATTGACTGAGAAAATATCATATACAGGGGCGTTTCCTTGTGATATTCTAGCAAATAGTTCATATGAACATGTGTCCTAACTTGCTCCGTTTTTGAGATACAGGATGTTGAAGTTGAAGGTATCAATTATTGTTTTTATGTATGGATGGAGACTGAGAAAGCCTCAACATTTCAAAATGATTCTAATTGGGATTATTGATAGTAATCTCAATGGAAGTCTCGAAAACACCTACATTAAAATTTGGAGTCTAATCGAATTCTTATTGTTTCCTCAAAAACTAAGCTATATACAAAAATCACATAGAGAATAAAAAAAGTTGTTATATCAATAGTTCATTCTAATAAAAATGACATTCACCATAAACATCGATAAATTTACCCACTGATGTGAAGCCACTGGAAATATTATTTCGTATTGCACTAGAAGAAGCTCCATATCACTATTAACAAAACCACAACGTTTCATTGAAATTGATGAAAAGACAATTGGCAAATGAATAGAAAAAAGATTTTTCATAGGAATATCAATACTCTGTATCTCGAAAACAAAGCAAGTTAGGACACATGTTTATATAAACTTTATTTCCTAAAATATCACAAAGAATCACCCCTCGAATTTTCGGTGCTATTTTGATACACCCTGTAGAAAGAGGCAAAATGCCACAAAAGAGAAGTATACCTCTATCAGTTCTAGCAAGTCTGGCATCACATCTCAGTAACGCTATCTGGTGGACAATAAAAAAATGTCAGCCCTATTATAGCCCTCATTGGTGCACATTGGTATACAAGTTGTCTCAAAGTTGACACCAGTGCTTCGGAAATTTCTACAGCAAATAGGCACTAACATGGAAGCAATTGAATCGAAAAGCACATGCATTCATTTCGAAATAGGTACCCGAAATAGGTACCCTATCCATGTATGCTTTGGTGGATTCCCGGAAGACAGCTACAATTCTCTATTTTCTCAGAAATATTCATTAATTTTCCTCTCGTGAAATTGTTGAATGTGAAAATGAATATACAGTGTGTGCGCTTTCAACCCGCAACACCCTTCTACTTTGGACCAGTCGACTGTTTAAAATTCCATAATATTGTACTCAACGAGCTGTATCAGAGAATATTCAAATTTTCAAGGCCTACTTTTGTTTGTTGAAGGGATCAAAATATCAAAAACGACTATTAGGCAATTTTTCATCAAAACTGCATGTGACTAACCCATTCGATTCAGGTATAGCTGAAAAATCCCCATTCGAAATTTGAACGCAAAATCTTCTATAGGGTGTTAGTTATTCAGTGTCAAATTTTGAAATTTTCGATTTTTCGATTCACCCTGTGTTAAAATCTAAGGAGTTGATATAACCGGTAAAGTAGTCATTCAATGAAGGAACACATGGGATACTCAGATACGAAGTTTCATCGTTGTAACTTCTACAGGAAGATCTCTCTTGGTCCACCAAAAATTATTGGAATTGAAGTTGACAAATTTTTCATTATGATCCATATCTTTTTTCCTGGAAATATAAATAGTAGTAACTCATTCGAGGAAATATTCTCTATGCATAACAAATTTCTATTGTCATCTCAAATTCCCCTTCTATTTCGCCAAATTAGGTATATTATTTTGATCACATTAAGTATCAGTAAATCTCCTTGCAGTCTTTGTAGAATGTTTGTCTGTCATTCTATTTGTGTTATATTCGACAGTTCTTTATCAATCGAGAGGATATTCAAAGTTACTGTATGGTGAAGTGTATGAAAAACGGTTTACTTGAGTTTTCAAAATGGTGAACCTCGCCCTTAATTTCATTGATTTTTGGTTGACCTAGAGAGATCTTTCTGTAGAAGTTACAACGATGAAACGTCGTATCCAAGTATTCAATGTGTTTCTCCATTGAATGATTACTTCACCAGTTATATCGATGGATTCCTCACATTTTGATACAGGGTGAATCGAAAAATCAAAAATATAAAAAATTGCCATTGAATAACTAACAACCTATATGATATTTTGCATTCAAATTTCGTATGGAGCTAGTCACTGTTTCGATTTGACTCATTCAGTAATCGAAAGTAGACCTTGAAAATATGAATATTTCAGATTTGTCCATATTTCCGAATAGAGCTCGTTGAGTGCTATATTATAAAATTTTTGTTTTTGAAAATCGGTCGACAGATTCCAAATTAGGAGGGTGTTGCCGGTTGAAATCCCACTCACTGTATGTTTAAAAATAAGTATTTTTCAATTGTAGGTATATTTAATGAAATTGGCATATCCATACCTCAAAATATTCACCGAAATGCTTCACTTTGAAATCGTGCCGAAAAATTACCATGTACAGTATGTTATTGATAAAGTAGGTATTGTGAGGGAAAGTTATTTTTGGGATTGTATGTATGAAGTGATCAGAAGAAAGAATTTCGTTCGAAGGTATCTCATGCATTTCCATGATGAGAAAAAAAAGATTATTGTACCGGTCTTAACATTGAATTTCTTCATGAATTCAAATCGGTCGAGACATCCAGGATAAGAAACTCATCATATTTGGAATATTCAGGTGCCATTCTACCATTTTATTTACATCTGCGCTATTCTTGAAGACTACTGACTAAGTCGAAGTATTGGCTATCATAATTTATGACTTTTGAATATAATGATATCCAATATATCAGATGATGAGATTATGATTCAAATTGTATACGTTTATTTTATTATCACAAAGCCAACAAAGAAAAAATGATAAGTACTAAGTCTGATCAATAAATGGTGCAATGTGCAATATCTTGCTGATTTCACCCTGATAAATTCTATCGCATTTTTAAATTCTCTGCTGATTTCATCGATATATCACACTTGAGGTCTATCGGAAATGATTACTTAGATATAGGGTGTTCAAAATCGAAAATTTTCAACTTTTGGATTTCTTTGTGTCGAAACTATTCATTATCGATCACAATGGCTGACATGTCCCTATCTCAACTTTTGATTTACCATTTACTGATATTTAATCGAAACAGATACAGGGTGATCAGAATTCTGAATCTTGAACAACCCCTCCTGTATCTGTTCCGATTAAATATCAGTAAATAGTGAATCAAAAGTTGAGATATGGACATGTGAGCCGTTTCGACCGATAATGAGTAGTTTCGACACAAAAAAATTCTAAAGTTGAGAATTCTCGATTTTGAACACCCTATACCTCTCTAATCTTTTTCGATAGACCCCAAGTGTGATATATCAATGGAATCAGCTCAGCAGGGAGAATAAAAAAATGTGATAGAATACATCAGGGTGTTCCATTTGCAATATCAATGTTGCGACTACTTTCTAGTTGAAGCGGCAACACTGCATTGCTGAAAATAATTTGAATGAAGAGAGCATATTCTGGAATATAAGCATGCACATTTCCATGGATTTCTCCCGACTGATTCTCGATATAAAGATAGTGTAAGCTCGTCGTGAACTCGTGACATACCCTGTATATTATGTAACTGCAATTTTTATTGTCTTAGTAGCGTCTTTTCCAGAAAATCTATGCTCAAAAGAAAATAAGTCCAACTTCATGGATGGTAGTGATTTGAAATAAACTCTATATAGGTGTAAACATGTTCTCTTTATTGAAAATACAGGAATAGTCGTATTTTATACAGGCGCAATTGGAAGCTGAAAGGAAATGTGAAAAGACCTTTTTATTTCCTTCATCGTCTTAGGTGAAATTTTACTGTGTATATCTATACACAAACATCAACAGTGAGCAAACTGTTAAGAAAAACTTCTGTTGTCCATTATTTGACGATAAACAATTCACAAGTATACTATGGCACAGAGTGTCATTTATTTGCTGTTTCATGCCATTCCAATAGAGGCGAATTTGTTCAACCTTCCAGTAGTCGCGCCTTAAAAAGGACATAGTCTGTCGCTGCGGAGTATGGCTCCGCAATGGAGAATTCGGGTGGTTTGAACATGATGACTTGAATTTTCCAAAGATTCCATCAGTATGCCTTTGGACATGAATATCTCTACGAAGTAAAATGTCAAAATTGCAATAAAAATATATTCATTCAATAACAAAACCCAAAATTACCATAGGACAACTATCGAAGATTTGATAACTAGAATTCGAACAAAAACACTATAATTTGAGAACAAACTGAAAATGTTTCAATCTCAAACCACCAATGACTCATCGGCAATCTCTGCAAATGAATGAGACAAAAATTTTGCCTAAAACGCCCAAAATAGCTGCAAAGTTTAACTGAAATATGCAATATAACTAAGACGTCTAAGGTCGCTGCGGAGTACGACTCCGCACTACACTATGAAATTCAAAAACGAAGCAAGTTTGCTCATCGGTAATACTCGATTCGTACTGAAGTCGTCATTTTAGGAAGGTACTGAGTGCGGCGGAATGAGGGAATGAAGTATATTCGAGAAAACTCACGTTT